TTCCTTTCATGCTGAAAACTCATAAAAGCAAAGGGACCTACGTTTCTGCTTACGTGTGGGGGGTTCTTTCCCAGCCGTACCTTCATCGAAGATTCCCCGCACCGGTGAGGGTGGGTCACGTCAACGCACAGTCAGCCGGGAGCGCTGACCCAAAGCCAGAGCGCGGAGTCCTGACTCAGCCAGGCGACAGGCTGCCGCAGAGAAGCGGGGACCCGGCCTTGCCGGCCAGCGCCTGACTTAAAACTCCTCTGCGTTCCATGCCGTTCTGCAGCACCAGAGGGCACCATGCGCTCACTTAACTGGAACCGACCGGCCCAGCCGCCTCTCGAGCAGAAAAACAGATGAGAATTCTTAACAGATTTGATTGTCTGACACATATTCTTAAGGACACAGATTCATGGGATTCAGCTATTTCATTAAGTTTCGGTGAAGGAAAAGCATCCTGTTTTGGCACAGGAATTGTGACTGTTTCTGCAAACACAAACCAGTCCAATCAGCACTGAAAGTCTTGTCAGGAAAAAAAAAAAAAAAAAAAGAGCCAGACACGCGTGTTGGCTGACTCGACTGCTGTTTGACTGACAGTCAAGCGGGTCTGTGTGCGTCAATACGGGCTGCGGATCTTATGTGACAAAGTGAACGTCGGCATCTGTTAGACTCCTTCCCCGCCACCTTTGTAGCGTGGCTGGGCAGCTCGGTGGCGCAGGGCAGCCTCCTAATGAGGCCAAGGTCACCAGATTCCGTTCGTGCCCGGGGGACACGTCCCCTCCCAGAGCAAAAGGCTGTTCCTTCCCTGTGCACTGGGGCCTTCGCTGCCCAGCCCCTCAGCAGTGCCCCGGCCTTATAGGATGCTGGCGTCTGGAAAGCGAGGTGATCCGAGTAGACACGTCGTTACGAGGAGTCGAAAACAGCTCGGAACGGAGACCCGCGATGCCGCGTCTGCGGCGGGACTCAGAGGGGCTTCTGGAATCGACTCTGCTCACTGGCCAAGTCGCTTTCCTTGTCCATCTGCCCAGACATATTGTAAAGAGCCTCGTCTACACCAGGCCGGGCACCGGGTACCGAAGGACGGAGGAGTAGGTAAGAAATGGCCGGGGTCATCATGGGTTCACCCCCTCGAGAGACAGATAAACAGGCCGACAAACACCAGCTGACAGGACAGATGCCCCCACGGGCCACAGATGCCGTAAACTGCCAAGGGGACGAAGAGAGGGGCCAACTGTCCTGTGGTCAAGCAGGCGAGGTCGGGACGGACCGACGTGCGCTTGATGACAAATTGAGGACGGGGCACCCCGGGTGAAGAAATGGTCCGCGAGGACCCCCAGGGGCTGGAGGGAGACACAGAAGCAGTTCCTGGGCCAGAATTTGGGGTACGTGCTGAGGAGCGGTGGGCGTCCAGCTAGTATGATTGCGTTCTAAACTAAATCAGACACGCTTTGCATAATCTAAAAATCTGTGAAACCCAGCGTGTAAAATGAACACCTATCCGCCTTCATTAATATGAATAAACAACTGAATAAATAGAAATGAGGGACATAGACAAATCTGTCCAGAAAGAACCCAAGCGGCTCACGCGGACACCCCCCGCCTGCAGGTGGGACATCACTTCTCACTCCTCCGTGTGGCCCGAGGCACCGCCCTCCTCCCGAACGGCACAGTGTGGAAAGCGGGGGAAGGTGAGACTTCCCTGTGACGAAGCCCGACAGTCACACGACGATAAGTCACGCGGTGGTACATGCCGCCGTGTCCTTCCTCCCCTGAGCCCTGAGCACCGCCCTGGCCGCGATATCGGACAAATGCCAAGTGGGAGACGTCGTGTGAAATGGCTGGCCAGCACGCCTCGAAGCTGTCACGGTCCTCAAAAGCCAGGGCAGGGTCCCAGCCAAGGGGAGCCTACGCAGACACGATGGCCACGTGCTACGTGACATCCCAAAGGGGTCCCGAGCAGGAAAGGGACGGTATGGGAAAACTGAGGAAATGGGAATGACGTACGGACTTAGTACTTAACGGCGTGGCAACGCGGGCTCTTTAACTGACACACATGTGACGCCACTGCACAGCGTTAGGGTCGGGGGCACGGGCGCGTGGCATGCGAGGGCTCTCTGAGCTGTCTTGGCAAAGTTGCTGTAAAGAAGGCTGTTCCAAAAGAAAACGTTTTAAAAATCCAACTTGTAAATTATCATTTTGAATGAAACTAACATATTATTTTTTTTCCCCAAAACTATTTGTGTAAATGTGGTAAAATTCTCTACCTCTACCTACCCTCAGGAAGAAAGGAAGGAGGGTAGGAAGGAGGGAGGGAGGGAAGAGGGAGGAAAGGAAACCGACCAGAACTTTGGCTTCAAAAATAGCTGCGCATTGTGAGTGCCACGCGACATATCCACATAGCCCCATAAAGTGATTATAAAATAATTGAGAGAAAAGAACCATTGTCAACCATACGATCAAAGCACAGAGGTGAGGGGTAGACACGCACGTTAGTCGTTGCAGAATGTAAATTGCGTTCCTCCCGTTCTTTCCTCGGGGGGAAAATGGCCGAAGCCACCCCCGTCGAGCTCATGTAAGGCATGTCAGTTCCCAAAGTCATTAAAACGTGCGCGATCAGAGGATACCACCTTAAGCCGTTCCTACAGACGCCCACCTTTCAAGGCCCCATCGAAGAAGGATGGGGACGTGTTACAAGGACACAGCGGGGGCTTGCAGAGATTCCCGTTGGCAAATCTGAGATAATTTGAGCATAGATCATTCAACTCACTGAATAAAATAACAACTCACGAAGTCACGCTGATATTAATTAAATTGAAAGATTGTTAAGAAACAGGGTACTTACGGAGTCTCAAAGTATCGCCCCACAGAAGCCCTTATTACTTACAAAGAGGAGAATGGAATTTTACTGGGAAGGAGCCTGAAAGACTCGCCTTAATCAGGTGATCAAAGCGAACGTCGCCATTAGTGACAGGGACTGACCTGTGTGTCGCAGACGGGACATGACGAGAAGAATTCAGCGTCGTTTCTGTTCCATTCCTGTCAATGATGCAGAAGTTGAATGTGATCAGTAGAAAAAACCCAGCACATTTGCTTTTGTTCTCTACCCCTCTGCATGTGATCCAGCTCCTAGCCAAGTCCACTCACCTGCTTGGTCCTGGTCCTGCCACCGTCCCCTCGGCCCTCAGCCCCAGCAGTCCCCAGCACCCCGGGAAACACAAAGAGTCCCCAGAAAGAAGAACCCAAAGATGCCCACACCATAACTAAAATGCCAAAGGTTAAAGACAAAGAGAGAATCTTAAAAAGCAGCAGGAGGAAAGCAGTTAGTTACCTACAAGGGAACACCCATGAGACTGGTGGCTCATTTATCAAAAGACACTTTGCAGGACAGAAGGGCTTGGCACAAAATATTCAATGCGATGAACACCCAGGATCTACAACCAAGAATACTTTATCTAGCAAAGTTATCATTTAGAGTCGAAGGACAGACAAAGCTCTTCCCATGGGGGGTGGGAAGCTAAAGGAATTCATCACCTCCAACCCAATATTACGGGAAATGTTGGAGAGGCTTCTTTAAGAAGAAAACACATGTATCAAAAAAATGTGAATAAAGAATGGTAACTACTACATTCCTATCAACAAGTACCTCGAATGGAAAAGAATTAAGTCCTCTAACCAAAAAGATAGGGGGGCTGAAAGGATAAGAAAACAAGACCCCTACATACGCCGCCTACAAGAGACTCACTTCACATTAAAAGACACACACAGACGAGAAGGAAGGAGATGGGAAGAGATTTTGCCTTCGCGGACCTAGAGGGCGTTGCGCTGAATGAAGTAACTCGACAGAGAAAGACAAATATCGCATGATTTCATGTAGAATCGAAAGAACAAAGTAAACAGCAGCAACGGCCACGGAAATGGAAATAAACTCATAGACGGAGAGACTATTTTGAGGGCTACTAGATGGGACGGGGGTCGGAGGGACGGTGGTAAAGGGCAAAGGGATCGAGAAGTACAAATAGTGACAAAATAGTCATGGAAATATAAAGCATAGATTAAGGAAAACAGTCCGCAATGTTGCAATAAATACGTAAGGGGGAAGAGGGCCACTAAGTGTAGCGGGGGGTCACTTTGTGAGTTATGTGGGTCTCTAATCACTATGCTGTAGAAACTGAAATCGATATATAATAGTATGGCAACTACAATGAAAAAAAAAACTCATTGAATTGTACAATGTAAATACGAGCACTAATTGTCTCTTATATTTCAATAAAGCTGTAAATATATATACATATTTCCATGTATAAATATAATACTGTCACATTCTATTTTATTTATCAAATGTTATAGAAAAATAATGAATGTTAAAAACGTTCTCTTTTCTAACCACTCGGGTCAACATTTTTAACTGAGCCAAAACCTTAAAACTTGGGGGTCATCTATTCAAAGGTTTTGGTATTAACCCATTCATCTCTTCATCATTTTTTAAAGTGTTTATAGATCACCTGCTATTTGCGAGCAAGCAGTTTTGAAATTCAGAGCCACTTGACTGAACTGTTCTTAACAAACGTGTGAGATTCTTATGCATCTGTCATAAATCCATCGACATTAAGATGCAGTTAGTTATCCAAATAAAACGATCAGTAGTCTCTTCACTCCTAGCAAAGACTTGACACAGAAAAAATAACAATTCTGTGACATTCAATATTTAGTGGCCCAAATTCTTTTTTTATGTTTCTATTCTTTAATCATATGACAGGAGTCCAGTTTCCTAAAAATCGACCTACATGCTTAAATAAGGTTTTAGTTTTAAGTAAGAGTTCAGTTGTTTTTCTCATATAAAAACCTCTCATGTACCTTGTCTTGCACGTGCTACTTACATATCTAATTTTGAACATATGTGAAACACGCTAGTTATAGTAACACATCGTATCTGAAGCTTTACAAATGTATTTTAATTAAACCAGATGTAAACAAGTATAAAAGCATCAAATCATAGATTAAAAATACTTGCCTGAATTTCTCTTCTGCGTAGGCACATGGAAGGTGCTACGGGGAATGAAATTTGGGGGTGCAGCCTTCTGACAGGAGCGATCTGCAATCCAATGAAAGAGGCAAAGTCAGCGCCAGTGATGGAAAATCAAATAACAACGCAAAAGTTAAATAATAATGTGATCATCACCCATGAGGCGTAACAAAGCAACATATGCTGAACCACCGAGTGGGATGCGTGTCCACGATGCATCGACATTTTCCAGAATGACTTTGGAAGCGTCTTCTCAATTTCCAGAGAAGAAAGCCACTGGCATTCTTTGGCATCCATTAAACCTTTTCTCCGTCCTACGAAAGACATTCCGTCTACTTACTTCATCTCTGCTGCTCCTTTTCACTGCCATTTCAATGTAAAACTGCGGCATTTTAAATGACAGTGACGCCCATAACACCCTTTGCCACATCGGTCTCTTCCAAGTCGTTCAGACTTTGCTGCCCACAAAGCTGATGGGGCCATCTCGGCTGAGTCAGCAGCTTCCTATCAGCTTATTCAGACACTGAATTCCTTGCACGTGTCACTTCACTGATGTATGGTGAGGCGAAGGCCTTCGAATTTCCCCGTAGCAGCGCCCCTGCTGCCATAGCATCGAGAGCCTGCAACTCCGCTGGTCCCGTGACACGGCCCCGCCACGGTCCGGAGGCCAAGCTTCGTCCTCAGTTTCCCACCTGCGTGTCACCCCTCCAGAGGTTTATTCCCAACTTCTCTCTTTCCCGATGCGAACCCCATCTCAACGCCCATTATCGTAATTGCAACTGCATTTATTTTCACGTCTAGATTAATTTCGTGCCGCCCCAAAAGATCGTAAAAACATTAGGATTTGAAAAATGAAGAATCTCGAAGAATTCTTAGAGTGATAATTGCATTCAGACAAAATGTTCTCAGTTTTAGAATAGCATATATTCTCAATCCGGAGGTAAAATTTATTTTTTCCTTTGAACGTCATCATTACTTATTAATTGTAAGTAATCTTAATCCGTTGATTAACATCCGGGGTTCCAAAATATCACATTGTACAACCTAAACATAGGCAATTTTAAAAAATAAATAACAAAAAATTGGGAATTTCTAGTTTTACATATTTCTGTGTTTTTTCATGCGTGTATGTATATGCACAGTCTGTACTCTCCATGTAAGTAAACAGTCCCAGATCACAACCCAGAACTAAATACTAAATATATTCTTAAGAATATTTTTGTGCTGGAAGCTGGCATAAAAAAACATAAACAATATCTTGTTTATGATGAGAAATCTTAGTTCAGATTTCTAAGTAGCCGAGGTTAGTGACACCATTTAATTAGATATGATGGCAGAGAAATTATGATAGTGTAGAAATAATGTTTTACTAGATGGTTTATCTTCTGTCTGTAAATATACAGACGTGTGTGTATGTGTTTGTGCGTCTTCCAATCTATGAAGCAATCCATGTATCACACGGAAAGAATTATCAGCTCAACCAATGACTCTTTCCACAGGACCCGTGCCTTCGGCGAGGCCAGGTGTTCAACATAATGTAATTGTGGAGAATTTTCCTACAGATGCACATGGAAGGCTTTAAAAATATGGAATCATCGATGATCAGAATCGAGATGGCAAGTGTCCGGGAACGTGGATGAGTGGTTGCTGGGCTGTATAAAAAGCAAAGTTCCTGCTCCCGCCTTCGCTGTGGATAAACGCACCGCCTCGCCCTCCCTCGGCCTCCTTGTGCCTGACGGGGAAAGGGAAGGGCAGGTCCCGCGTCTGCGGGGGCCGCTCACCTACCGAGGGCAGAGCTTCCAGCAGTGAGTCAGGGAAGCCAAGGTCTGGTTTTCGTTCTACTCACTGTTGAGAGACTGTAGGATGGAAATCAAACCTTTGAGCATCGATTTCTTTATCTACATTAAGTGGAAATAATTTCTGGGGTTCTCATCCAGCAGTGCCCCAAATGACACTGAATTTTGACTGAATATGTTCTCAGTTAATGAAATAATGTACCTTATTTCCAGTGTCCGTAGTTATTTGTGTCTTTTTTTTTTTTTTGAGATTTTTGTTATTGTTTTGTTTTGTTTTGTGTTCAAATACTCGCCACAGACCCTATTCAAGCTTGAAGAACTGTTTTTCCGTAGAGTGGAATCGTTTTCAGTGGGGAGGGGACATGGGAAAGAAGAGAAAATCACTTCACCTCGACACACTAGGAGGACACATCCTCCCCAGCATTAACAGAACGAGAATGAACACGGTCCCCAAATAATGACGACAAACTCGGGCATGTCCAATTCCCTCTGTCGTCATAAATCAAGTGCTTAAAATAAATGTGTCATGGATACAGATAGAAAATTTTACATTCTACATGTTACAAAATAAATAAATATTCGTACTCGTCGGATGCGATCTGCTTTTAATTTCATAAGATTTTTCTTTGGCGATGCTCAATTTCAAACCTATTACCTCTATTCTCTTAACAACTGTCCTATGCGATCAATCCTAAAATTTTTCCTAAATTGAAAAGTGGTAGAATCCTGTATACACAAACATCTGGATCTGTTAGAAATGGTCGAGACACAACGTGATATGTTAATACTATTTGGGCTGTTTTTTTACACGGTTTATTATTGATAAGAAGTTGCTTAGCAAAAGTCAAAATGTCAAGTCTTTCCACCTCGTTTTCTCAGGCATTTTTATGTGATGCAGCATCCTATAAAGTGAAGATTCTTCTCTCTTAAATCTCTCCACCCCACAAATCAATCCCATCTGAAACACTGATTAGACTACGTTAATTCAACTCCTGGAGATGTAATTTCAGTTCCAAATTCTAACTGTTTCTATTTTTTGTTTTGTTTTTGGTTTTTATGCTTACAGCACCTGGTCTTCCTCGGTGGTCTCCCATCCAAGTACTAACGAGGCCCGACCCTGCTTAGCTTCCGAGATCAGACGGGCTCGGGCGCGTTCGGGGTGGCGTGGCCGCAGACCTGTTTCTTGACTATGGATTTACCTTCTGACCATTCACACGCTGTCCACTTAGGGGGGCAGACAAACTGGTGGCGCCTTTCCTTTGAGCCACCTCAGTGACGTCACAAAGCCGTGGGAAGCTCCAGAGGGCCAGTTACTGCCGGAAGGAGAACTGAAAGCAGGGTCCACATATCCCCTGGAGACACCAGAGCACCCTGGAAGACCAAATGCAGCTTTCCAGAAGCTTCCACAACAAGACCAGAGCCTTTGAATCAATGAACTTCCAAGAGGGGCCAGATATATCAAATATGCTCGCCCGCCTGTTTGGGAAAGATCTTAGCCTTACGAGATACTGATCTACTTTGTTGTAAAAACGTGGATCACATTGGCATAAGGCAAACTTGGGTTTGTATCTTGGCACTGTCAATTATTAATTAAGATCTCTTTAATCTCTGAGATTAAATCACATATTTAATCTGTTTCCTTTTTAAATCAATAATGGTACCTACTTCACGGAATTACTCTGAATAGTCAATGAGATGACTCACAGAAAGTAGTTGGCATAGTTTTGGCCCCTGGTACGTGCTCCTGTGGGACACCTGTGCCAAGCCCTAGAAAGGCTTTTTCCACACAGTTCTGCTCGGGCGCTCTGATTAACACAGGACGGCACTTGACTTAAGTATCTGCAGTTACCGTGGTGGAATGCTTGTCACCAGAAGGCTTATCCACTATAGTTTTCTAGCCAGTATCTGAGGGTGCCAATTTAGCAGCTAAAACTAGCTAGCACATTTCCAAGTCACCTTTACAAGATGTTTTACTTGTAAGGAAAAGGTTTACGTAGCGCTTTTCAGAATCATATGATTAAAGCTTTGCCACTTAAAACTCTCCAAATGGTACCTATAAAAGCTGTCAGCAACAAACCAAGAAATTACACCTGTTGCTACTGGATAGACCAACACTTACGACCAGCTATGGTCGTACCTGTCCTTTACTATATTAATAGAGATGCTTCTGATCCACAGTGGGTCCTGGGTGCACCTGGCTTCATCACTAATGGGGTGGTTGGGTGACATCTGCCATAAAACGCTCCCCAGAGAATCAAACAGAACAAAGCACAAAATGCCACAGAACAGACCCTGGCATCCACGCCTCTAGGAGTCAAAGCTTTAATTCTCAAGATACCTCGACAGCCCTTGAACCGAAGCAAACGAGTTGGTGATCGTTGGGTGGCACGAATCTCTGCTCTTCACAGGACTGAAGACCAGAGAAGTAGTTCACGGGCGTTAGGAATACGGAAGGGCAGGGCTCAACCTCAGAGTCACCAGGAAAGAGAACTCGAACATGTGAAAGTGACATGTGCTCGTACGCACTTCGACGGTAGAAATCTCTGTCTCTCCTCCTTTGCCCCAAAGACATTTCCCGGAGAGATTCGAACGGGCTTGGAAATAGGTAAAAATACACACGAAGAAAACTCCCAAGCAAAGCGTTAAAAAGGAAAAATGAATTCAGCATAAGTTAGATATTAACGTTTTAAGGGCAAGGGAAAGAAGGAGCACCAGGAGGAAGACATCGGTTCCGACGAAAACATCGTAATCGGTGAATCCAGCGAAAGGCTGTTCACCGATTTCAGAACAAACTTAAAATGCTGGTATTTCGGGTTGTTAATCAACATGACATGTGCTGATGCTTGTGTTCAATACAGAGGTTAAACTCCCACCCACTCCATCCAATAACAAGAATGAAAGCCATTGTTGGATGGCAAGAAAAAGGTTTTCTACACAGTCTCTGTCTCTCCTCTCTCTCTCTCTCTCTCTCTCTCACACACACACACACATACACACACACACACACACACGCAAATTGCAAATGGGATGCTACAAAAGCAGATAATTTTTAAGAACAGTTGTCTTTCAGGCTCGCATGCTGTGGTCAGCCCCGTCTTACCGGAATTCGACTCTACATTTACCTGTTTTTACTTAGGCACGGAAAGAGTTAAGGGCGTTGGGAAGGGCTGGTCTTTTATAGCATTCCATTCTCATGAAGGAAGCAGATTTGACAAGATGTGACTTCTTACTTACCAGGTGGGAAAAGGTGTGGTAAATGGCCATTCCAATGCTTTTAATTATTGCTTTTCCTTTTTTCTTTCTTGAAGCCTTGCCAGATGATCCTAAGAAGAAATTTCACAACCACTTATTTCTCTTCTATGTGTTGCTTCTTGTATGGTACGGCGATATAGATGCCTTATCATGAATCAGGACTGAATTTTTGGTTATTTTTCTTTAGTTTCATTTAATTTAGCTATGTTTCACGTTCAGAACGTTTTATCATTTTTTTTGGTCACAGTGAAGTAGTCGCTGAGTGCCCACAAACCAAGCAGCCTAAACCTCCCACTGCCCTTTATGCTCTTTAAAAAATATGTATTGAGAAAATTCTATGCAAAGAGCTCTCTCTTAATATGTCCCGGAAATCGATGCTACCTCGGCTATCAGCTGGTAAATACCACCGGATGAAAACCTTACAGAGCTCCTGAGTGCTCTGCTTTGCTCACACCCACTCTCCATCACCCCCGCACCCACTCTCCATCACCCCCACACCCACTCTCCATCACCCCCACACCAGCTCAGCACGCGGGGGCTCTGACAGAGGCCTGGGCCCCCTCCCACGGCTGAGACTCTGGCCTCTGGTCCAGAAGCAGGGCCCCTGCGTCCCCTCTGGCTCTCTACTAGGTCGCATCCTCTCGGTGAGCTTTCTAAAGCCTGAATCACATCACAGCCCCTCCCTGCTTAAAACCCTCACCTGTTCCTTCCACCTGAGCTGCCTCCGAGACGGGGCAGCCTGGGGTCCTGCTTCGCGTCTCCACTCTAAGGTCGCTGAAGCCAAAGCAGGATGCTTGAGAGTTGGAAAAGTCACACTTTATAGATCATGTTGCCCACACTGTGACAGAGATGACAAGAACTCTAAAGGAAATTGTTCCTCGGGCGCGTGGACTTTCCTGCCGAAGAAGCCAGGGGGCCGGAGTGGGCGTCGCTGTGAGGCGGAGCTCTGCAGAGGGAGCTCAGGCCCGCAGCAGGCCCGCCTGGCTCTGAATCCTGGCTCTTTCCGCTCAATAGCTCTAGGACCTTGAGAAAATCACCTAACACGTTCTAAAGTTTTGTTTTCTCATCTAAAATATGTGTATAAAATACCAAAAGCGTGTGTCTGCTGTAAGAATTGCGTGGATGAGGGAAGCCGGAACGTGGCGGCCAGGTCCTTGGACTAGCTTTGTGTTTTCGTTTGCCTCTTTCGTCCTCGGGTGTTAGGCTTCCTTTGCCTGTCGTAATCACTTCTCTGACGTGGCTGAGGAACTCGAGGTAACCACAGTCCGGTTATTAACAGACATTTCTCAAAGTCGCCACACCCAATTCAATGTCTAGACTGAGTCCCATCCAACATGAACGAAACAGAAAAGCGTGCGGAATCGCCTTATTGGGTGGTCCGGCATTGTAAAGACTTGAAAGGACCGTGAGATATTTAAATTGCATAAGAATGTGCCCGTTCATTTATTCATTCGACAGACACCTGTGCGGGCCACCCAGCGCTGATCTGTATTCCGTCGACGTGGCATTATAAGGAAGGACGAGACAAAAACCTCTGACCTCTGACTGCCTCGCCTTAGAATCAAATGACATTTACCCATTGCCATGGACTCTTTATTCCAAATGACAACCTTGCGGTCAAAAAACTGGGTTGTGTTCCCAGCCTCACCGTCGTTCACGGGTGGTTTGGGGTGGCGACGGCTTCCCGGAGCCTCGCCCTCGAAGGTATGCGTGGTCCGTGTAAGGTCTCAGCAACGCCAACCCCTGTGGGTTCGTGATTATTTACCAAAGCTGAGGTTAGAGACCTTATGATGAGGAATCGCTTCATTCCTTAACGTCAACGAGTTTGCTGTTCTGTCAAGACATTATCTTTTTACAATGATTTACCTCCCACGGTACTATTTAGAACTGAGTCAAAGAGAAGGTGAAACCTCTTTGGAATGTGATTATTAGCATTTATCTTTTATTATAAGCATGGTCTAAGGTTTTATACTCTAAAGCTTATATTCTTTAAATTGTCTAAATGATAATGTTTGTCTATATGGGGGATGGGGCCACTGCCATGCCGAGAATTTTCTCTCTTTCTCTCCAGAAATAATCAGGAAGCATCTGGGTTCAGACGCCCCTGCCATTTAAATAAAAGGCTATTTCCCTCGGACATACACCTATCCTCACCGTTACGCTATCCCAGATGACGGACGTTCACACGATCCGACCGCATCAGCACCTCAGAGACTGTCACGCAGACGCCGCGTTCATTCTCCTCCGGCGAAAGAAAGGATGTTTTTGGTATCGACGTGGTAACCAGGTTACCTCCAGGAGCCACTTTAGAGCTGAGATCCAGAGACGGCGGCTGGGGCGTCGTTTCTCCCTTCGCCCCCCACCTCCCATCTTCCTTTATTCCTCGGCATTGTCAGACGGCTCCCTCCGCTCGGACGGCAGGACCGGTCTGAATGACACCGAGCCGCGCCTTCGGCCTCCGTCTCTCCAGTTCAATGACGGTGCTTTCTCGGGCTAATTAGCGTTCCTCAGAGCCCGGGCGCTTCGAGTGACAGGTAACCATGGAGAGTCACACTCCTGTGGATGATGGCAGGAATCTTGCTTGGCTTTCTAATTAAAAATTAGAAAAGCCTTAAAGAAAAAGCTTAGCATTTACGGATGTCTGCTGTTAGCCCTAGGTTGCCACGCTGGAAAGAATAACGGGACTGTCAGGAAAAAAAAAAAAAAAGGAAAACAAAAAACAAAAACCTGATTTTTGTTTTTCTCTGTCCATTTCCTAAGGGACAGAGAAAAAGGCCGGGATAGGCAGAGACAGAAGACGTGTGTACCGTGCTCCCCAAAAGCGTACCCACAAAAGGAAGACACAAAACGCATGATCATCTGTTCCTGGCCGTCCATTTAGACAACAATGCCCTCCCTTCAAAATCCGAGAAATAATATCATATTTACAAACAACAGGGGCTTCGCTGTCACTTAGAAAGCATTAGAATTAGGATTTTGGAATAACATGGAGTTAATGCTGAATAATACATATTCGGTAAATGTTGACTGTTGACGATAAGTGTGATTACAAAATAAAAAGGTATTAAGAACCTATTTCAACCCTCGGAAATGCTGGGAAAATCTCCTGATTACACAAATATTGGATCCGATCTTGGGAATTGATGTCAGCAGGCAATAGCCTATCTTTCCAGCAAAGTGAGTTTTCTAAGTAGGGCAGGGTGGCGATTTAAATATTGTCACTTTAGCTTGGAAGCCTAGATCAGAGAAAAAGAAATGAACAAGAATTTTATAACACTTTAAGGACATGTCAGGCTAATATTCCTATTCACAGATAAGTAAGTGAGTCATTTGGATAGTGGGGTCCATTTTAATTTTCCCCGAACTAATAGAAAACTATTTTCTTTCGGTTCTATTCATTGCACAAAAATTTTAATTTTAACATGCCTCTCCCTTTCCTGTTTTTACCCCAAAGCAAGATTATTGTAAAAACCTTCTGCTGTTATTTCTGGCCAGCAGAGAGCCAGGAAGGGCTTACGGTTGTGGGCGAATGCTTATTCTCATGTCTTATTTCAACCCATTCCCAGTCTTATTTCAACTGAGGGAGTGGGAAATGTGCGAACGAAGCATCAGCGAATTCTTCACTGTGACTTCAGAATAATTTCTTCTATGAAAAGAATTCACCAAAAAGACAGGATGATAAAATCATTTGTATTATTCTGTAGACATACTTTTCTTGGGTTCACATTCTAAAAATTAGGATTTTCCTTCTAAGGTATAGATTGAAGGAAGGAACAAATTTTAATTCCAAAAGACTGTCCCCACAGTATGTGAGCAATGGACACTGTTCATTGTCCACCAAGCAATGTTTTAAATTCTCTATTTATTTGAATGTTCTTTCTTAATAAGCATAATTCCTTAACTTTCCACTTTCCTACAAAAATTTTCCAGAAAACAGATTCCCCCCCACCCCAAAGTTCATAAATCTGGCCTCAATCAATTTAACTTGCTACTTAGAATGGACTTAATTTGAAAATACAAAGAAAGATTCTATCCCAAGAACCTCAAAAATTGTTTTTTTTTTTTCCCCTGAAATTCTCCAACATCCAGGAGACTTCTCCTAACGAGAGTAAGATAAGAACCTTTCGCATTTAGTAGTTTTAAAAGGAGTTCGCTCTACAGCATCGCATTCTGAAGTGTGCTAATTTGAGCCACAATGGAGGCCGACAGCCGTCCCTCCCACGGTCACCTCCCCTGACAGCTTCCGCATCCGGGCGGCATCTACGTTGGTTTTCTTTCTAACAGTAAACGGAATCTGGCGAAATGCTGAATTGGACAGAAAATATTGCATGGTTTAAGACAGGCCCAATGCCCTATGATATGGTACGAATGCGAAATGTTACCCGAGTTTCATGACAATTTCGAACTATTTTAAAAACAAACATTAAGTTATTAGATACTGAGAACTGTTTTCATCCGTTTTCAAGTGCGAATAGTTACAGGTTCATCATCTTTAGCTCTTCTAGCTAGAGTTTTCTGCAGATGCCGAAAAAGAGAGAAAATTTGCAATCGTGACGTTTCCGTGTTGCTTTTATAGAAACTCTGCATTTTCCTTTTTCTAATAGATTTGTGATCAGGAAAGCACAACAGGAACGTTCTCCCACTCTGAACGGTGATTAGATCAGCACTGATCTGATCATCATTTTATACCTTCTCCCTTCATAAGTCTTTTCCCTATTACAAGAGAGAAGATGGTTATTACATTCTTTTTTAATGACGATGACCCAGAAGCCTGCTGGTGCCTGTTGTGGATGACTTCTGGTAGGTTCTCCTCTAGGACATAGCCTTTCCGATGGCCCACAGTGATTCCAGGGACTCCCAGAAGGTCAGAGGCATGAAGCCTCCTATTCCTGAAGTTTAATCTTCTCGTTTCGCAGATGAAGACCTGGGCATGGAGAGGTTAACTGACGCTCAGCTCACCGGTTTCAGTGCCAGGACCAGAACTGAAACTCGAGGCTGACGCCATTCCATCCGACTTTCTCATGAGATGCCACACAGATGTGTCACAACTTGACTCATGCAGTCAACAGCACAAAGCCACACCTTGCAACATCCCTCCATGCGACTCCCACTCATCAGTCCTAGGACCTCGCTGACTTCAGTCACTAGCCTCAGATGTTCAATTTTTAACCCGAGCTGACATAGTAGTGACATTTTTCCTTAGTCTTGTGGAAATCATGACATTTGCATGTCGCTTTTGTATAAACACTGAATTTTCCATTATTTCACCATAAAACACTGGTCTTTTGGAGGGACAAAAGGAAGCACTGTCTTCATCCTCTAAGATGTTACTATATGAGACATCTCAACGTCACCAAAGAGAATATTTTTTAAATTAGTCAAATTAAAAAATTAAAATAGACAAGATGTTGCTTAAGAAAAGTAGACGTTTTATCATAAAACCGGTACCAAAAATAATGTATTTGAAAAGTAATAAATATCCTTAATACATATTTTTGGGGTCCTGTTACATTTAGAAAAGTAATATGCTAGATTTTTTTTTTCTCCATTTAGTCAAAACAATTAGGTCAGAAATCCCGCAACATAATAGTCAAGATCATATCATTTCTGTTCTGTGCAGAAAATAATCTATTATATTGTTATTTAAGGGAAATTTCCCCAAATTCCTTTTTTGTTTCAGTTTTAGTGGCTGTCATCGATTTTCTGGTCCATCTGTTGAGGCTGGATAGCTCTATCGTGCTGCACAACGTTGTCTAATTTCAACATGTGAATAAATGCATGGCGATCTACACACACGCGACCAGATCACCATCAAATAAATTCCTCACTTTGGTTCCCTTCTGGCTACTACACTCAAATACCTTTCAAAAGAAAGTAGAAGCATGAACAGAGGAAATTTAGGGGGGAAAAGCCTGGGCCTAAAGAGAATTATTCTATGAGAAAAAGTTGAAAAAAAACTGTATTTCTATCTTTAAAAAAGAGACTCATAAAGAAGTCTCTTAAAATACTAGTAATCATTACAAGGATTAAGTTAATATAGGAACGCGTAGGCTTTAAATCTAGTGAGTCTTGATTTCTAGAATTCTCTCCCTCATCCCCTATTCTTATTTCCACTTCACAGAAGTAGTCATTTTTAATGGTTTTTGTGTGCCCTTCTAAGATATTGAAAATATCTGAAGTGCTTTCCTATTAAAAAAAAAAATGAGTTGTCTTTAATAAATAGCCACGAAGGGGGGAAGTCGGAAAAGTAATACGTGGAGGCAGGAGAGAAAAGCAGATGGAGCCTCGATATAGGAAAAGAAAGTCCTCCCTGTGGGGAGAGAGACGG